ATATCTAAAAGTAATGATCCTATGAGACCTTCCCACACTCATGTATGTAGGACCTTAAAAGATCATTATTAAATTTGCATATATCTCTAAAAAAAGTCAAGTCCCACACCCATGTGATAACGTTTTTAGATATCTGTATCAAATTTAATGGTAAACCATTAAACTCCTACATAAATGAGTATAAGAGAGGTTCATAGGATTATTACTATATATATTCTCTTTACTTCATTCAAAACCTCAAAGATGGCCAATCAATATCTTAAACTCTTTTGGTAAAATTCCTTAATAAACCCATGATCTCTCAAGAGATGTCATAAGGCCCAAAACAAATAAAATTTGTATGCTCCACAATAAATTATATCAAAGGTTTAACCTTACGAAAGCTTTGGTAAACAATAATAAGTGTTGTCCACCGGGAGTCATCTATTACCTCATAAGCCAAACGCTTACATGGCAGAAGTGATCGTCACCACCCAACGCATCTACACATACTTTCTAAAAACATCCCCAATTAAAACGGAAATGTATATAATGAGACCAGTTAGTTTTTGTACAAGGAGATCACAACCATCATTAATTGTTAAATGTGAAAGTGGATGGTTAAGGACGTGTCATTGTTCAGGCACAACGTATAAAATAGGATTTCTCAAGTGTTGTGATATAGTTCCATCTATTGAACTTCATATCCAATGATTTAAAAATAATTGTGTCCATTCTGTACCAAAAAATAAAGAAAAATTATTTGATAAAGCCACGGTCCTATCAAAATAAGTAAATCCTCACCTAATAACACATCAAAAATTGTAATTCAAAACTTGGAAAACCATTATATCGATCATCTGGAGTTGATCATTACGGTCATAAAAAAAATTAAGATTCAAAACTCTAAAAAATGTGTTGATTTTAACAAATTATTTTGACCGTCCACTTCGTCCTAAAAATAAGTGTTCAAAGATCCACAAAATCTGTATATTTTTTTATTGTCAATGTTGAAAATTGATTTTAGAGTCATCATGAAAATGTTTTTTGTCGAATGTACTTTCCATATAAAGATTTGAGGTGAGGCTTTATTTGATTTGTCCTTGGTGTTATAGAAACTTCATGCATAGTCTCATAGTCTACAATCCCAATGAAAATTATTAAAATATAACTCCCCAAGCATCTAAATATCAGGCCGGAGAGTCTGCCTTGCACTTGGCAAATCACGAGCCTGCCTTGCACATGGAAAATCACGAGCCTTGACGAGGGATCAGTCGAAGTGGAACCAATTTTTGCAAGGTGACCCCAAACTTATCCCTCATATCCATCTCCTCTGCTTTCAGTCCATCAGGAAGCTCCCAATCGAAATAATGCAACAAAGACGTAAGCATCAAGTGGACCATGTGAACCCCAAGAGGAAGGCCAGGGCATGTCCTCCGCCTTGCGCCAAACAGAATAAATTGGAAATCATTGCCCTTGTAATCCACATTGGATCCCAAGAATCTTTCCGGCAAGAAAGGTTGTCAGATTGTCCCACACTTTAGGGTCTCTTCCAATGGCCCAATAGTTGATCAACACTTGTGCATGTTCCGACACTATGTATCCGGCCACATTTACAGTCGTATCAGCCCTATGGGGGATGAGAAGCGGTACGGGGGCGTGGAGCCACCATGTCTCCTTCACCACAACTTGTAAGTAAGGGAGTCGAGATATGTCCGACTCTTCCACAATGTGTTGTGGACCACCGAGGGTCCTTGAGAGCTCCATCTTAGCCATGGCCATCTTGTCAGGGTTGTGAAGGAGCTCGGCCATTGCCCACTCCACACTAGTGGAGCTAGTATCGCTTCCCACTGTAAACAACTCTTGAGTACCATAAAAACATGGCTCCCTTAGTAAAATTAGGGGTGGTGATAGGTCAATTTGGGTTTGGGTCGACCTGGGCCCTGAACCGACACAGATCCAGGTTTTGAACTGAAATCCGACCCATCAAGTCCAAACCTTGGACCTGGTTTAGAACCTAGCAAATGTCTTTTGAAAAGTATCAAAAATAAAATAAGGGAAAGTATATAATAAGACCATTTACCTTTGGTACAAGGTGGTCACAATTAATCTTGACCATTGGATGTGAAATTGGGTGGTTGTCTTTATTTCATTGACCAAGCTCAAAGTTCAAAAGAAATTTTCTCGAACTTTGTGATACCCCCAAGCTATCAGATTTTACATTGAATGGTCGTAAGTAATTGTGACCCTCTGTACTAAACGTAAATGGTCTCATTATATACAATCCTATAACAA